GGCACTTGTTCACCTCGAAACACATCTACATCCATGATTTTTTGAAGGTAAAAAATCCTTCTGTAACTTGGACGAACGGAAAAAATGTAAGATCTTTAGTTGGCAGAAAACTAGTAATTTCTTAAAGTCATCTTCGAAAGTAGAAGCTATTAATTTCAGAGATGGAGGCAAATTAAAGCAGATGGAAAAAGCCATGACATAGATCCATGATGGAATTAGAAGAAAGCATGATGGAAATGTGTGTGTGATGAGCTGTTAAGCTTCAACCCCATCCAAGCTGTAAACAAAGAATGCTCCGAAGTGGGGGGACAGCAGCATTAACAATGCCACCAGATCTGTCAGCCGAATCACCACACCAATCTTCATTCTACACTTCACCATTTGCACCATTCATTTCCTTTCCACCTAGACACTGCCTTCACACATTTCGTCAATTTATATGGTGATTTGATTAAACTGATACCTTTTAGCCGTAATTTTTTTTAACACCTTTTGACCAATATTTTTCGAAGTAGTACCATTTCGATTGAGGTAGCACAAAAGCGTATTACCGGAGATGTGCTTTACCTGATTTTTGCTGATTAGGATGCCACTCGTGTAAGGCGAATTCCCAGGGATGTGCTTTATATGGAATTTGTTGAGTCGGATGTCACGTGGGTAAGGTGCATCCCCGAGGACGCGCTTTCACCATTATGCCTCAGAAATAATAGATACTGACATGAATAGTTCTCTAGGGGACATGAGTGACATAATAGGACAATGATAATATATTATCTGACAAAATAATATAAGGCGCCCCCGGGAACGCACTTTCACCACTTTGGGTACTGACATGAATAGTGTCCCCGAGAGACATGAGTGACATAATAGGGTAATAATAACATAGTCCCGAGGGACATGGGTGACATAATAGGGCAATGATAACATATTCTCTGACAAAATAATGGAAGGTACGCCCCCGGGAACGCGCTTTCACATTCGCATTTAGACTACAAAAATTATGTTGATCCTGTATATCAACTTTCACAAGTATTCAATGTATATGAATTTGAGTTTCCGCCCATAGGAAACGAAAGAGACCAATATGAGATTCAAACTTGGCTTACAATTATATCAGATCCATTGCTATTGAGGGACTCATGTCGTCCAAAATCTACTAGAATACATTATGATATGGATATTCGAGAGAAGTCAACAGAACAAAAACAAAGTGGACATTGTAGAAACATCGGGCACAATAGAAAAAAATGTTCAGCTCTGTTATCATCACATAATCGTTAACCCTTATGTAATTAATATTATATTTAAATGAATGTTTTTGTTTCTAATAATTAAATGTAATTGCATTTTCTATAATTTCTCAATGTATGTACACCTAAATAATTTTTTTTAATTTTTATTTAAAAATTATTTTATTATATTTATTTAATATAATAATTAATATTATTTATTATAAAAAATTAATTATTAATTTTCAAATATTATAATAATTCCACCTTCTACGTAGAGACAAAAATATTAAATTAAACAAATTAAAAGTTATAAAAAAATTTATGTATATGATGACACATTTCATGTTCTGATTGGAGGATTAAATTTATTAAATTAAATTAAAAGTAAGACTAAATTGATTAAATATGTAAGTATTGAAGATTAAATGTGTAATTATACTAATTTTATTAACTTATGCATCAATATTTTCGTTAAATATTGATAACATATGACTAGATTGATAACATTTAAATAATTAAGTGATAAAATTAATAGATCGATAATCAAAATAAAAAAAATAATAGACATATAACCATACGTACAATATTATAATTTCATACATTTTTCCTATAACTACAATAAGATCAAAGCTGGTTTTGATCTATTGTTCCATCCGATTAATGTCGCATGGAATGGGTGAATGCCAAAGTCCCTGAAACATATAAAACTAAAACATAAATTCACTTCACCTTTAACACACATTTAAAAAATACATTCGATAATTCTTAAATTATAACCGAAACACTTTACCTAATATATTAATAATTTATAATAACAATAAAAATAATTTTTTTTATTATTAAAAAAAATAACAGTGTGACATCCGCTTTAGCAGATCCCATATAAAGCGCATCTCCGGGAATGCGCATTACACGTGTGGCATCCCAGTCAGTAAAAATCAGATAAAGTGTGTCCCTGGGAATGTGTCTTTGTGCCACCTTAACCGAAAGGGTACTACTTTAAGACATATTGATCAAAGGTGTTATAAAAGGAAAATTTCACACCTTCATTTCCATATGACCCAACATGTGGATGCAGCTCGCCTGTACAATATTTCAACACTTTCTACATACATTCAACAATAATTGATAGGTTTAAGTATATTACATGTATCTGTATTATTTTAAAAATTAATATTTAATTCTTATATTTTATTTTTTACGAAATTGAGTATATGTATCATTTTTTAATTTGAAAATCTTTATTTTTCTCTATTTTTATTTAGTTCCATCATTAATTGTTGATTTAATAATTATAAAAGGGGTAAAGGATTTCATTTATGAAATAAGTCAAAATATACAAATGTAAACTTAAATAGCTTGGTAAAATAATCAAAACTAATTAAAGAGAATCAAAGGATGACAATATCTAATAGCATATCACATAAGATCACATCTAATTACTTTAATAAATATGACATATATCTATCTATAATGAGAATGACATATTTTTTTAATCCAATCGATCCAACCGTATCAAAGTATAGTCCAATGGTACATTAATGGCATAAAGATACTCGAATCTCATCTCATCACCAAATAAAATACAATAAATATCGTACTTTCACTTCGTTGAGACCATATTTCAAATATACATCTTTTTATCTATTTAAAGATTAAAGTCTATACAAAACTCGTACAAAAATGTCAATTATATACGAGAATCGACTAAATGATCAATGACATAATTTATCCAAGATCAAACCTTATATCATAACCATCGCATGATAGATTTTCACAAAATTCATATTATCACAAAATAAGAGCACATAGTTCAATTTAGTCTGATTTCATACACCAAACTCTAGATTCGCATAGCATGCGATCATTTTCATAATCGGAACAAAATATAGTACGTTCAATTTTACATGTCACCAATTGAAATTTACCCAATCAACAAGATTGTCATCTAAAATGCTTTAATTGAGTCATTGCACGTAGTTTACTACAAATATATATATGCCAACCTATACAATCAAAACTGAAACACCTATATACAATCACAAAGACTTAATTATGACCAAAACAAAAACATGAGTATAGATAATAATCAAATATATAATTCACCCTTTTATTTAAAATTTTAAAAATTGTTTTCTATTTAATCTACAAGACTAAAAAATTACAGTGACAATTTCACGTTACTCATGATAAAATATTATATTTGTTACAATACAACTATAATTTTAGCACTTCATCAATACTGTCAGATTAATCGACTGTCAATGTTTGGTTGATTTTGACTCTCATCAAAATAAAATAGTATCAAATGGTGCTAAATTTATATCGAAAATAATTCCTTCTAATCCAAGGCACTTTAATATTTTTAGGACCACATAATAAGGCTTAAGGAAGGTCCCAAAAAAAAACTCTATTATGAGGTGCTTTACCTTTCTTTAAAAACAATAAATAAGGACCAACAAGGTTTATTTCTAGTGATAAGTAGTTTGATATCGTTTAAGTATGTTTTGAGTTCGAGTATGTGTATGCAGAAAATATCCGCAGGGAGATTCACTTACCAAAGTCAGGTGTACGACCCGTAGGGATGACAAAAAAACCCGAACCCGACGGAAAAAACCGAAAACCGAATTAAACGGGGACGTGGAAAAATTGTTTATGTTAAACGGGGACGGGGACGGGTTTAGTAATCTCCGCCCGATTACCCGGCCCGATAAATATTAAAAATAATTATTATATATATATATAATATTAATAAATTTAATTTAAATTAATATATATATATATAATATTTATATATTTAATTTAAATATATATACCTGGCCCGATACCCGTTTATGCTAAACGGGGGATACCCATTTCCCTGCGGTTTTCCCCGATTACCCGATGGAGATCCCCGTTTAAATCCTCATGATTTTTTATACGGGGACGGATATGGGTTTTTTAAATGGGGACAGGGACGGGGGACCAATACCCGGCCCGTTGCCATCCCTAACGACCCGGGTCGGTCTGGATTAATCAGAATGAAGCATTGAGAATAAGGCGGACAACAGAAAAACAATAAATAAGATCCAATTTTAAAAGTATATAAATAGGGAAAATAGTCATAAATTTTAAATATAAAAAATAAAATTTTCTTAAATAATATACTTACATTAATAAAAAATTATAAATAATACAAATATTTCAAATAATAAACTTCAATCAAGCAATATGATATCATTAATTTTTGTTTAAGATTCTTTATATTATTAATATACAAAATCTTTTAAATCCCAAAGCCCAAAATTATAAATATGTTAGAAGTTGATGGACAAATTTGAAGCATAATTAGAGGTTATAAACAACATGTAAAACAAGTTAACAACCATTAGAAGAATTTGATTTCGTATAAAAAAATAAAGGGAAAGAATATTCGTTCCTACCGAAGAAAAAAGACCTCTCCACGCGAAACTATAATTCGTAAACTACTGTCCTCAAAAACAAGGAATTCTTAAACAATTCGAAAACTTAACTAGTAAGCACTATTTTACAGATTTACCCTTGTATTATTAGTGGGGAATTCTCAATAATCGAGAACGGGCCCCGCTTGGACCCACCAAAAACTCCCAACAATTTAATAAGTTTGCAAACATAACGCGATGAATAGAGTATTTCAAAGATATTCCCTTTAAGAGTACGGGAATAACTTTTAAGTCCTAATTTGCGTATAATTCTTCTTCTCCTTTTTGAAGTAATTCGTGTATAAATATACGTTTATATATCATCAATTACATTACATAAGTCTCTCCCTCTTCTCCTCCCTCGCTGACCTCGAAAACCTCAGCCGCCACCAGAATCGGTGTTTCACGGTGGTCCTAAACCCAATGTCGAGACGTTACGCGCCTTCGCTACCCGCTCACACGCTTCAACGAAGCGCTTTACGCAAGCAGCGATCATGGTGTCCTGACGCGGAGCGAGAAGAGGCGTGGCTCAGGAAGAAGGAGCTTTATGGCCGGGGAATCCGCCGTACTCAGAGCTTGACCGATCATGATATAGAGGAGCTCAAAGGCTGTATAGATTTAGGTTTCGGCTTCGAACCAGATTCGCCTGAATTGGATCCGAAACTATCCCAAACTCTACCCGCTTTGGAGTTTTACTGTGCCATTAATCGCCAATTTAACGGTGGAATGTCGAGGTCTTCGTCCATGTCATCGATGGACACTTTAAGTGACGCTGGTAGCACTACCTCGATAATTGATCAAGGTAAAATTTAGTATCGAAGTAATTTTCTTATTAAGTTCAATCAAACTAAACTCGCATCGTGTTCTTAATTGTTCGATTTTGATTTCCCCCCCCCCCCTGATATTTTAGGCGACGATCCGGAGATGGTTAAAACTAGGTTGCGTCAATGGGCGCAAGTGGTAGCATGTTCGGTGCGGCAGATTTCAAGGGAACCTAAGTGATTCACCGTGGAGGTTCTCTTTTATTTTTTGTATAGAGGCTTCAATAATATTCGAGATAATAATTAGTTTTTCTTTCGGTTTTAGGTTTAAACTTCAATTTTGCATCCTAATACATAATTTAGGTTTAGGGTTTAGGATTTGGATTTATCATATAATGCAAAAACTATAAATTTTCAAGGTGCCGGATTGATTGCGAGTTCGAATTTAAAATTTCTATTGAAAATCTTTGAGCTTATTACTATGTTCTTCAATTGTTTACTTCCTTTACATGTTCAAGAAATCTACTGGAGAAGTAGTAAGATCTTATATTGTAGGTAAGTACAGAGAAGCATCCCTTGCTGCAGTGGTAAATCTAATTGAGCCTCAATCTGCTACCATGTTTTTTGTCTTCATTTTTTACGTTTGTTACCCTGTTCCGTGCTAACTCCTCTATGCTTTTTAACTTTTGCATTGTGCTTTTTCCGTGAACCTGCATCGTTTTCCTGCACGTGTAAATAAACAAACACGTTATCTGCCCCTAACATTGACAAGCTTTTTTGGTTAGGTTACTGGTTTAAAACCGGTGAAGGTCTGTCATCGCGATCTCTCTCTCTCTGAACATCACATGATTGGTACAGTAACTTCATGATTTAGTTGCCAACTTGCCTTGGTTCTGTGTACCTTCGAATTTAGTGAATATACAGCCTGATATCTGCCTGGATTTTGTAGCTAATTACTATCACAAAAGATGATTGATTCCGGAGAAATGAGGATTTGTAGTTGTATGGTTCGTTATTTTTTGGGTAGAAGAATGGATTGGACGAAGATGCAGTGGGGATTGGGGTGACTCCACTCCACTTAACCCTAGGTTTCCATTTTACCCAAAGACTATGTAGTATGATTTTATGTAGGGAAAAATTATATTAAAAATTTTAGACTGAAATTATAAAATTTTAGGAGTGCAAAATTAGATCACTAATAGAAAATATGAAGAAAATATTTAAATTATATAAAAGCTTAAATTTTTTATGAGTTGAATCGCGCCCTAGCGTTTCTCGATTCATCCCTTACTCGATCATATCCACACACACTAGAAATGGAAACATGCCCTGTAAGGAAGAAGAATTGTTTCGGTAAAGGTCCAGCGTTAAGGAACATAATGATGCGACCTGTTTTTGCAGTACTAAAGGTGACTCTAAAAATGATGTTAACTTATTGAGCTTGTTCTAAAAAGCAATTGAGATTTCAATGCCTGCTTTGCTCTGTAACTGTAAATGGTTGGTTGTAGATTTGTGATGCAGACGCGTAAACAGAGTACGATATGTTTACTGTTTAGGACGAAGTTAAAATTGAATATTAGAAGACACAAAGGTGTATTAAATATTTAAATAAAAAAAATTAAGAGAAAATAATATTTTTATTTAATTAATATATAAACTAAATAATATCTAAAATGTTATTATATCAAAATATTTAAAAGGGCCGATACCTCTGCCATGCAAAGAATGATACCGTCTAGGTATGTTTTACCAATGCCGAACAAGATTATATATAATATTATAACTAAGATATGCTCGACTAATATATATTATAAAATTGTAACTTGGATGGGTTCTCTGCATTAAAACAAAAAAAAATATCATTTTAAGAATATTATAACATTTATGTAATAATTAATTATATAATTGTTATTACATACAAATTTAAATTATATAATATAGATGAATTTAAAAAAAAAAATTCAGTTTAAACTGAATTTGAACAAACATAAAAATATATTAATCATATTCATAAACTCAACCAGAACCATTAACTACTTACAAGTTAGGACTTCAGAGTCTTCCCTTTTGTCTTCCAATTAACTCTGTCATGGAGTCCAAACTCCAAAGCCAAATTGCGAAAAAATTGCGAAAAGTCCCAAAATAATTTTCAACAAAAATGCAGTCTGTCAGCATCTTCCATAGACCCCCGTCCCCTTGGACTTTCTGAGCGACCAGGAGCATCAAGTTATTAGCTTCTTTTGTATGACAACTCTTCATCAGAATCAGTTTCTTTTTCTTAATCTCCTTAGAAAGAACCATACGCCAAATTTCATCTCACTAATATCTTGACATTTAAAGAAAATCAGGTTTACTACCTCTTTTCTCCTGTTTTAACACTGAAGTCCCCGAGCTAGATTGTGAGAGACAGAGATAAAGACTCTGTTTTTGATTGATGGGTATTATCTCAAACCTAAGAGGGTCAAGAACCCAAGAAGGCTTGCCATCTTCTACATCTGTTTCCAACAGGAGAAAATGGTCCAATTTGATGCCCTTAGTTGTGGCCCTCGTTGTCATTGCTGAAATTTCGTTTCTTGGTCGCCTTGACATCGCTAAAAACGCCGCCTTTTTAGATGCCTGGCCCGACATGTTTCATAGGTCACGCTCTTCTGATGAAGTAGAGGTTGCTGGCGATCAGAACTCGGTTACAGAGAGCTGTGAGGAATGGCTTGAGAGAGAAGATGCCGTGGTTCATTCAAGGAATTTTAGCAAAGATCCCATCTGGGTTTCTGGCAATGAGCAGGTCCCTTCACTACTTGTGCTTCTTTTACAATTTCCTTAGATATTTATATTAAACACTATAGCTTAGCTTTCAAGATATTGAACTTTTCAGTGATTGTCTGTGCAATTGTGAGGATACTATTAGTGTTATTTGCAGATAACTATTGACCATATCACACTCCATTGTTTTTTATATGGATAATAGGATGCAGGGCTTTGTAAAAGTTCTTTATTCTCCTACTAACAGTAGTTTTAGGTTTAATTATGTCTCATTGTGTATTGTTGGCTTCCTCTTCATGGTATGTAGGAATGGAAAACTTGTAAGTTGTATGTTTGGACTTGATCCCAATAGGAAACTTGATGCTGCCTTTGGTTTGCCTCAAGAATCCGGGGTAGCAAGTGTGCTGCGCTGAATGGAATCAGCTTCACACTATTCAGATAATAATATTGCTAAGTCACGGTGGGTAAACAAACACATATTTTGCCCATGATATTGTGGACTACTTTGATTCTCTACTGTCTCTTTTAACAAGCCTTTTCCCCCTATGAAAGATTTTAATATTGAATAAGATATTATGTGGATTACTCTTCAAAGCTATGATATTTGGACAACAACACTAACGTGATGCTTCATCACAGACATGTTTGATGTTTCCGGGAATCCAGGCTTATGAGCATGGCAATACACGTTCCATTATATTCAGTATAAATGAATTTTACTATTTCCTTTCGCTACTGGGAATGTGCTCGTTTTTTCATTGGAAAGCTAGGCTCCAAAGTGGATTCTAGTTACTGGGGAAGTCTCTGTAAAACTAACAGATTTTTTGACCTTTTGATTTAGGCGGGGTTATAATATTGTAATGACAACTAGCCTCTCGTCGGATGTTCCTGTTGGATATTTTTCATGGGCTGAGTATGATATCATGGCACCAGTGATGGCAAAGACTGAGAAGGCCTTGGCCGCTGCTTTCATTTCCAACTGTGATGCCCGCAACTTTCGTTTGGGAGCTCTTGTTGGGCTTCAAAAGATGAGTATCAAGATAGATTCTTATGGTGGTTGCCATAGAAATCGCAATGGAGAAGGTGAATTTTTGTATCTTTATGCTCTTTATTTTAATTATAAACATCACTTTGAAGTTGATACTGCTAAATGTTGTATATTCTTAATTTTCAGTATGTCCTATATGTTGTCTCATAAGTTATTATTGTCTACATTTTTGTTTAGTTTAAATATTTTCCTGCATTTCTGAGGTTACCGGTTCTCTATGCCCCAAGGTTTCCTTTTTTTATTTAAATCTTGCAGTGGAGAAACTGGAAGCTCTTAAATGATATAAATTTAGCTTGGCTCTTGAGAACTCCAACGAGGAGGATTATGTCACCGAGAAATTTTTCCAGTCTCTTGTTGCAGGTATGAACATTACTTTGATGTTTGATGTAATGACCGAGTCTCTTAAATTGAACTTAAATGTTACCATAAGGATTTCTTTTTGTGTTTTTTGCCAAAAATTGGAAAACAATTGTTACAACCGATTTATCGAAAAGCTTCAAGAAATAGGATAGGGAAAATTGCAATCCGGGCTGGAACGAATTCATGCACTTGTTCTGGACTTGAATATGACGATACCAATTGTTTTTTTTTGTTGAAACCTTTGATTACTGAAATGTTAAACTTTTATAGGAACTATACCTGTGGTGGTTGGTGCTCCAAATAATGAAGATTTTGCTCCTCCTTCCGGTTCAGTTTTACATATTAAGGAATTAGCGGATGTTCAATCAGTTGCAAAAAGAACGAAGTATCTTGCAGAAAACCCTGATGCATATAATCAATCATAAAGGTGTAGCATGGTTCAATCCCCGGAACAAATTATGCCGATTTACGAGAAGCTTACTTTGTATTTTGGAATAGTTGCACAAATCCCTCTCCTCTTATGATGTTTGTTGATGGTTTATGAGTTATGTTTCGGTCCTTAAACTTTTCAATGTTCCAATTTCATCCAAAAATTATGACTATCATTTTAAATTAATCCTCAAACTTTTAAACAGTTTAGTTTCATCCTCAGACTATATAACCTTCATTCTAAGTTGGTTAACCCATAAACATTAAATGCTAGAAAGTGATTATATATATTGAATAGTTTGAGTGATTATAATATAATTTTTACTCATTGACAATGCACATGTATTTTACATATATAAATACTCGAATCTAGAGCCTCAAGAGAGAACAATACTCCCTTTAACCACTAAAATTATTTAATAATATATATAAATTGAAAAAAATAGAAACGGTACATTAGATATTATTTTATATAAAAGCTATTAAAAAGTGTGGCGGTGGTTTTGAATGATAAGCCCACATGTTTAATATTTGTTAGTAATTGAAAGCGAACAAACAAATGAAGTGATCCTGAAGCAGTGGCGGCGAGTCAACCAAAGTGCCCCTTGGCTCATTGTAAAGGCTCCAAAAGTAAATTAGTAGAACTCTGCGTGTGTGGTGCCCCTTTACAAACACAAGCATACATGAATGGTCATCTCATCATCCTCTTTACTATATAATTAGTCTTATGTTTAAAAATAAAATATCCATATTTTTTTTAATAATTAGAGGTGAACATGGATGATAATACAACTATTAATACTAAAAGGTAGAAATTAAATGATTTTATTTCCCAATTTTTTGAAGTTAATTGATGGTGATGATAATAATAAAAGGGTTTGGATGGGATGAAACTTGAAAGTAGCGGCGGAACCAATTGACCCTATGCCGCCCGCAAGTGAGGTCCAACTGAGAAGCAAAAACAAAACCAAACACCTCGATTCCCATTCATTCTTAATATTAATTAAATTATTATGAGGAAATCTTTTTCATTAAGGAAAACAAATTTCAGTGCAAATTAAAATCCAGTTACAAGAATTGAATGCTTTATAATTTTCCATTTTCACAAATTTCTTAATATATATTTGTATCCTTTTATATATTCATTTTATTATTTAGGTTTGGGATTTGTACCTATTTCTCTAAACACGCTGTATGATTATTGACTTTTCTTAGTTAATTATTTTTTAATCCACTCATAAACTAAATATAAAAAACAAGGTCGGATAAATACAATTCTAGAAGAAAATCATAAGGATAAATTACACAGCTAGTAGCTAAACTTTAAGGTTGTATATCAATTATGTCACTAAAATTTAAAAACAAATCAATTTAAGCATTGAGATTTAGTTTGAGATCCAATTAGGGTACTAAACCATTAAATCGTTAACAATATGATGACATGACCATATATTCTCTATTTTTGTATAGAAAATCATCAACTTCTCTTATTGTTCTTGTCGATCAATCATTGTCCATCATCGGTTGTCATTTATTGCAAGATTTGTAACAATTTGTTCGTATTTCACTTCTACATCCCTTTCATATATTGATTTTTTCACAAAATTCACTCAAAACTAATGAATAAAACACTTTGAGATTAAATGTGTTGATGCTTCGATCTCCTCCAACAACTGCCCAATGAGACTAGTTTAAAGATATGTTGTTTATCTTCTCAAAAGAATGTTTCTCATTATTTGAATTTTCGAACAAACACTCCAAACTCGTTAAATTCGAGAAAGCCTTCAAATCCTCAAAAATAGTGATTTTTTTGTGTTTAATTTCATGAGGTTTTAAAAGATTCTAAATTGATAAAAGATGATGAGATAAGTTCATCAATATTTAAGACAACCATATAAAAAGAAAGACTTTGAAGAATAATTTCAAGGAATAAATAGGAATATTTAAAATGAAAATCTTAATTTTAACGAAGAATATGGTGAAATAAAAAATATGTTTGAATTCCATCACCATACCAACATCAAAATTGTTGAATCATTACACCGTTTCGAATTTAACGCCCCAGTGCTCTAATAAACCATACCAACTAAAATTTAATTCTTAAATTAAACTATTTTAAAGTTCAGTGACAAACTTAATACGTAACATAAAGTTTAGTACCTAATGATATATTTTACCTTAAAAATAATATTAAATCGAAATTAAACTAAAAACAAAACCACCAGTTGCCATGTTTCTCAGCTCCTTCTTACAAGGGGCTTGCGAGCTTGACCCTTAACACCATCGAAGAGTCCCCTTTCCCCAAAAAAAACTTCTCCTCTGCTCTTAAGGTCCCCTTGTTTCCATTACAAAAATGTCCAAAACTCTTATATCCCTTCACTTATCTTTCCACCACCACCACAATTCTCACTTCCAGCTTCTCAAACAACTAATCCCACCCCATGTCTTCCTTTTCAGTTCGTTTCTTTACGCCACAAGCGCTTCCTTCCACCACTTCCTCTGTCAGGCCCAGAACATGGGTTCTCGCCGCTCCCACGTCGGCTCCTGCGGCTTCGGTGGATGTCGACGCCGCGAGGTTGCAACCCCGAGTGGAAGAAAGAGATGGTTACTTCGTGTTGAAAGAGAAGTTCAGAGAAGGCATCAACCCCCAAGAGAAAGTCAAGATTGAGAAAGACCCTTTGAAGCTTTTCATGGAAGGAGGGATTGATGAGCTTGCGAACATGTCGCTTGAGGAGATTGAGAAATCTAAGCACACAAAGGATGATATTGATGTTAGACTCAAATGGCTCGGTTTGTTCCATCGCAGGAAGCATCAATGTAAAGCCTTTTTTTCTCCTTGATTTTGAGTTTTTGTTTTTTAAGCAATTGATTATGTTGAATTTCTCTTCTGTTATTGATGGTGCAGATGGAAGATTTATGATGAGATTGAAGCTACCAAATGGAGTAACCACGAGTGCTCAAACACGGTACCTAGCTAGCGTGATCAGGAAATACGGGAAAGAAGGGTGTGCCGACGTTACGACCAGGCAAAACTGGCAAATCCGTGGGGTCGTGTTACCCGATGTGCCGGAAATACTCAAAGGTCTAGAAGAAGTAGGCTTGACAAGTCTGCAAAGTGGCATGGACAATGTGAGGAACCCTGTTGGCAACCCTCTCGCCGGCATAGACCCCGAAGAGATCGTCGATACACGACCTTACACGAACTTGTTATCGCAATTCATTACCGCCAATTCCCGTGGCAATCCGGCCTTTGCCAACTTGTAAGTTTTCATTTACAAATCCATTGTTCCTAGAAACTATAATGTGTCTTGTTTTTTGATGTTATGTTTTGGTTCGAATAGGCCTAGGAAATGGAATGCTTGTGTGGTGGGGTCTCATGATCTTTACGAACATCCCCACATCAACGATCTTGCTTACATGCCGGCCACAAAAGACGGACGATTCGGGTTCAATTTACTGGTTGGTGGGTTCTTCAGCGGCAAGAGATGTGATGAGGCCATTCCTCTTGATGTTTGGATCCCTGCTGATGATGTGATCCCATTGTGCAAAGCTATGTTGGAAGCCTTTAGGGATCTTGGTTTCAGGGGCAATAGACAAAAGACAAGAATGATGTGGCTGATTGATGAACTAGTGAGTGACGCACTTTAATTTCATTGGTTTTGTTTTTCATTTTCGTATTCGTATTCAATTGTTTCCGGGATTGTAGCCTCATAAACATCGTTAAAATGCAGGGCCTTGAAGTATTTAGATCGGAGGTAGCCAAAAGAATGCCTCAAAAAGAGTTAGAGAGAGCATCTCCTGAAGATTTAGTTCAAAAGCATTGGGAAAGGAGAGACTACTTTGGTGTCCATCCACAGAAACAAGAAGGTTTCAGCTACGTCGGTATTCACATTCCAGTTGGTCGAGTACAAGCCGACGACATGGATGAACTAGCTCAGTTAGCCGACACATACGGCTCGGGCGAACTCAGACTCACTGTGGAACAAAACATCATAATCCCGAACGTCAAGAACTCGAAAATAGAAGCATTGCTTAACGAGCCTCTATTGAAAGACCAGTTTTTGCCCGAACCGAGCATTCTCATGAAAGGGCTAGTTGCTTGTACAGGGAACCAGTTCTGTGGACAAGCCATTATCGAGACAAAGGCTAGGGCCTTGAAGGTAACAGAGGAGGTGGAAAGGCTAGTGTCGGTAACCCGGCCGGTGAGGATGCATTGGACCGGTTGCCCCAATTCATGCGGACAGGTTCAAGTTGCCGACATAGGTTTCATGGGGTGCATGGCAAGGGATGAGAATGGGAAGCCATGTGAAGGAGCAGATATATTCTTGGGAGGGAGAATTGGGAGTGACTCACATTTGGGACAAATCTATAAGAAGGCTGTTCCTTGCAAGGACTTGGTACCTGTAGTTGCTGATATTTTGGTGGAACAATTTGGAGCTGTCCCTAGAGAGAGGGAAGAAGGGGAAGATTGAATCAAAATCAAGTTTGTTCATTACTTTTTTAAATTTGTTTTTTTTAAAGCAAGCTTTGCCTGGAAGAAAAAATGGAGCTTTTAAATGGTACCGGGGTGGATAGTGATCAGTCAGTGGGATGATCAAATCAGAATCTCATGTTTCTAACAGCTTGGTGTATGATAAAATGTATTAACATTTTCAGCATATGTATCGGAATAAAGTTACTGATAATATATATTCAGTTCAAGATTTTCTTTTTCCCATTTGGTTAAGTCGTGTATGTAAATTGTAATTAAATATACGTTAAAAAGCAATGAACTGAAAAATAATGAAATTTACAAGTCTAATGAACGGAACTGGATCCTTATTTACTTGGTTTAGATAGAATATATTCAAATTGCTTGACGTAATTGTAATAGGAATGATTAGATTATTTTCAAAAAGTTATAGATTTAATTTTTTAAATATAATTATCGATATTTCATTTATTTACTAACTAATTCAATAAAATATTATAGAGGTTTGTTATGAATATAATCGTCTTAAAATGTTGTTAGTGGGCTGAGATGACGAATATTTAAAGGCTTCCTAGAGGGGTTATCGTCAAGCAATACACATATAACTTTCTGGGCTCACAACCCAAGTATTGCTATATTTGTAAGGGAAGCACGACGACAATGGCCACCATAATCTCTGCAGTGATTGTCGAGAGCGACTCGACAAATTTGGTTCATCAATTGCTTATCGCCACCATGATCTCTCTACGGTAAGTTTTTACATGGTTGAAGCACGACGAATGCTCGACGACAATGGCCACATCCATCTTTAACATGTTCGGCAAACGTTACAGCTCACACCCTCCCTCGATGGGTTGCTTCCACTCGATCAATTACTTATTTCTCTTCTGATCATTCAGAATGTATTTATGATATTGTTCGTACTAATGTCGCTTTCAGCTAATCTTATAAAATATGGTTAACTTACTTTCCAAAAAAAAAAACAACAACAAAGGAAGCAAATATGTAAAAGTTAAGAATGATAAATCTGATTCATATATTTCATTGGGACAACCCCACATATTTGCTCCATTGCTCGATGAGTTTGAATCAAAGAGCTCTCAATAATCCATCCACAATCACATTAATGAGAGATCAATACCTGACCAGAAGAAGATAACAAAAAATCAACCAATCTCGTGAGAATCCAACCGGCCTTATTAGATCTCGAAAACGATAAATCGTCGGATTTATTGTCCCTGAGAAAAAAACGACTCTCTTTCTCCGAGACTATTGATTTCGATCAGCCACATATGTTGCAATCAGTCCCTGCAAGTTTGCGGAGTTGGTCAATTGATGTCGTATTGTTTTAGAAATGTCTAAGGAAAGACAACCTAATATAAGGTTAATAAAAGATATTACCGGAAATGTTATAACATTTCCGGTAGAGTGCTACTTAAAATGTTATTTTTTCTACCGGAAATATTAATGTCGGACGCTACCTAAAATGTTATTTTATCTACCGAAAATATTAACATCGAAAATATTCATTTTAGGTAACGAAATTAACATTTCCAATATAAAAAATAAATATCGCTTTCTTATTTGCTGCGGTTTTACGATATTTCCCGGTACTGGGAGACATCTGCAAACTTCATTGCCTTCCAATTTCCGACATTAATCTCCGTTAATGAAAGGGAACAAATATCATATAATTATAATATTAGGATCACATTTAAAAATATATAATAACAATAATAATAGTACATGTATCTTATGAACCAAAATTCATCTTTTCATTAGTTATGTTTAAAAAATATTTATTTATAAAATTAAATTAAAATAAAATTTGAATAGAGCAATAAATGATTAAAATATTGATTTCCAATGTAAAAAAGGCAAATGTCTGAAGACAGGGAAACCACTGCACTTTCAGTGTTAGAGAGTCTGCAATGTGGCATGTAAGAATCTGGACTAAATCCGACCGATCTTGTGAATTCCCTCAAAGGTAAATTACACGTTTAGTAACTCAACTATCACTTTTATTATGTTTTAGTCACCTAACTACTTTTTAAAATCATATATAAGATTTAGTTTTGGTTTCATTTTAGCCACTAGCTGTTATAAAATTAACGATAATGCTAACGTGTCACCATAAAGTAGTGTCACATTATCATTGAAAAATCAAAAAAATGATGCACCAATAAATTTGTTATTTTTTTAACAATTGATGACTAAAATAAAATGTAACTTTAGGCATAATTTTGAAAACAAAATAATTGAGTGACCAAAACAAAATAAACTTGATAGTTGAGGTTTTGAACGTATAGCTAACCCAAAATTTAAAGGTTGATTATAATATTTTTTAATTACTATTTTAACAAGTCTCCACCAAATGTTTCAAAATAATTGGTGAAATATTAGCATGCATCCGTCTCTCTTCATTATTTACAAGTTAAATCAACCATAGTGGGGGGGGGGATATTTTTTATACTAGTTTGTTCACAAAATTAATAATTTCCTCTATATTATAGGGAAAGAAAATTTTCCAAAAAATATAGTTAAAATATAAATATTATTCTTTGAGATATTTACGGTAAAAAAATTCTTCACAAATGATATTAATATATCGTTATGAGTTTTTAATTAATATTTTAAATAAATACAAAATACATATAACGATGTATTAATGTTACTTATGAAGATTTTTTTATATTAATATATCAAATAATTATTTAAAATTTATATTAATTTATAATATGATACATAGTTTTTTTTAATTACATTGTGTTTTCACTAACTACCTACCACCATTACTTGATAGTATTTTAAATAAAGATATGATACTTTTATATCATGTAGTTTTTTTTTAGTTTTACACAGATTTAAAAATATCGAATGAATAGAAATAGACGGGTGAGATTAATAATAAAAAATGAGAAGATATTCACTGAAAAAAAAATAATGAGTTAATATCGACCATCTATTTTCATTCATCCAATGATCCTAAATTTGTATAAAACTAAAAGAGTTTTATATTGTGTAAGTGAATTCTAAATATACATAATTGAATATACAAACAAATTATTTTTATATAAAAATAACTAGATTTATTACCTATTAATTCAATATTTTAATAAAAAAAAATTGTTCCGAAGACACCACTAAATTATTTTAAGAAATCTTAAGATTTATTTGAATATCTAGTTTCGGAACGACCTATCGAGGAGATCACTTGAAGTTATATAATTTTGATTCTTCTTAAATACGGCACTCAAATAATAATTAATAAGAGATTCATTGTTCAATATAAAAAAAGATAAAAGAAAATAAATTCAAGCTATCAGATCTTAGGTTCCTCGTCCAACAATCTCTTATCATCATGATATCCCAAGTCGATAACTATCACTCATGAGGAAAATTGAGGACAAGAGAGGGATGTGAAAGGGCATCTTTTTTGCTCTATCCTTCCATATGAACCCATTTATCCATAATGAAAAAGGTTTTGATATGTTAACAGCTCATAACCTGTAATTTATGAGATTATTTACTCAAATAATTAGAAAAATAAAAATTTCAAATTATTCAATTAAGAATATTTCTCAGTTTAAAATATATTAAAGTCACATATAAGTATAAACTCTTATAAAATAATAAAAAATTATAAGTGAAGGATTAATTTACTCAATTGTAAAATATTCTTTTTCTCTACTATTGCATGGTCATGTTAGTATTATTGTGGTATAAATAAATATTTAATTTTTTTAGTATAACTATCGATATTCGATCTATTGATCAATTAATTCGGATCGAGTATCGCAGAGGCAATGACGACAATTACGACTCTCTCAGTCCAGTTTGCTCCATTCGCAAATGTCAACATTCGAACATCTAACCTTACTTAAGGAATCTAGTACTTCATCTCATTAGACCATCTAGTTGTTGGTAACAAATGTCTAACTTTGAATATAATTTTTTTTATTAATATTATGATATATAAAATATAAAATTTGATATATATTCTTTGTAGCAATTAATTTCAATTAATACATAAAGTATATTATAAGAAATGTACTCTGTAAAATTCATTTTATAAAAATTGAGCTATTACTTGAATTAATAATTTATTAATTTACTATAATTGTGGACCTAATATGATGTTGACTTAGTGGAAGTAAGACACATATCGTTGTTTAGTAGTCATGAAAATAACACAAATCTTAGCACTACATATTATGGTAAAGAAAGTGATGGATGGTTAATAATTGAGCATTAAACCCAAGTATTCAAGGATTTTTATTTTGATTTTCCACATTGTTTCTTTTGTACGTGGTTAGAATATATTGGAAAGGGCAAAGTTGTAATCAAATGATAAGCGACGAGCAAATTCGTGCGAACCATGTGTTTATTAATGTCAAAATAATAATCGTTAACAAAGTATTTTTTTTTATATAAAGCATTCTAAAAAAAAGTTAATATTATTATTCTATATATTTGATAATGAAAATTTTTAATTCCACAAATGATTTTAATCTATCTTTGTATGTTTTATTTATATAGTATCAATCGAATTATTATTTTACATATTGACAGTCAGTGCAATAGTAATTAAGAAAAAATAGTAATTAATAATTTAATAAAACTTCACAACTTTTTTTCCTGAAATCAAACATTTTAAATATTAATTTAAAATATATAATAATAAAATAAGATAATTAATAAAAATAAAAATTTTACTATAAATATATCAAATAATTATTTAAAATGTTATTATATTCTTAGAAATTTCCACGTGGACTGAGAATAAATAAGCCAGCAATAAAGTTTAATTTTGGATAGAAATAGAATATTTGAAGTCTTGAAACAAAGAAAGCGACAACGTAATTGTGGGTATCGAACCTTCTATTTCCAAATTTCTACCTTAAAAAGGAAATATTGGCCCTCGGTGAAAAAGATTTTCAAGCACCCTAAATTGAAAGGTAAAATTATAATTTTGGTTCCTATAATGTTTTTATAATTTACGTCTAGGCTTTATATTTTAATTTGGTATAATTTGATGTCTCTGCTTTAATGATGTCATTAGTTGGTCAATGAATGTACCTTGCAG